ATCCTCACATATCTTAGGCTGTACTTCTCAGATATCTTATTCTGTGTTAGTGTTTTGTTTTGTTTTGGGTGGGTCCATTAAAAAAAAAATACATGGGAAAACTGACACACATGCAGAGGAGAGAGATCTAGATGGAAATCACGTTATCTGCAGGTAATGGACCAAGGGATGCCGTCAGTCTGGGAAGACCCATCTTCTGGTTCCAAAAACCCAGTCTAAGCCATTCTGTGGGAGGAAAGCAGGGTTTGGGCCCTGCTGTTGAATAGTTTCATGGTTCCCTGCCTAGAATGTGGGAGATGGAGGCCTGGCCTACATTAGACACAAGATCAGAGAGGAAAACTCTAGGTCCCCTGCCAACTCCAAAATGTCAAAAATCTAGATATTTCGCATCCTTTCATTTACTCAACAAATATTTATTGAGCATCTAACACATCGCCAATGCTGGTCTAAGTCCTGGAGATGCAGTAGTGCAGAAACGTTTCTATTCAAGGGGAAGATGGCCTAAAGAAATGAATTAATGAATTAATAATGTCAGATAATAATGAGTAATATAAATAAAATTGAAGCAGAGTAAGAAGTGCTCCTGGATATAGAGTGTTCAGGAAAGACAATGAGGTGACATTGAAGTAGAGATCTAGAAAATGAGAAGTAATGGATGGATGAGGGCCGGGGGCGGGAAGAGCCAGCCAGGAAGGAGGAAGATGGGCAAGCACCCAGGAGACACTGAGGTGCCCAGCTTGTTTGAGGAACTGAGTGTAATTGATCCAGCAATGGGCCCAATTTCTCGCCTGAGTGGTTTATTTACTATTGGATCTATTGATCTCATTTTTCAATATCATCATAAGAGCTTTAATTTAGTAAGTACCTACCATGTGCCAAGCTTTGCTAAACACCTTAGGTATTACTTCTGTTTCCCACAACACTGCAGGTTAGGTCTTACCGTTCCCATTTTAAAGATGGGGAAACTGAGACTCAGTGCTTCTTCTCAGTAGCTTTCATCTAGTTCTCATCTACTTCCTCGGGAAACTACTCAGTTCACTGCTGATTGTTGCATGCTTGAGGGTTACACGTTAGGCTGAATGCACACACGTCTACAAAAGTATACTGAGGATTCGTACGATAAAATCGCACGTGAAACTGGACAGACAGACAGCCCTAAACTATTTGTCTACTTAAACTTAAGGGGAGAAAGTACGGTAGGCACTTTACAAGAAAAGTTTCTTCATTTGAAGTTACTCTTTGAGCTGCTTTTTTCACTTGCAGAATGTACAATTAGCATGTCTTTTCCTTCTCTCCTCATTAATATCCCTAATTCTTAGCCTAGACATTTCAAGGAACAGAAGATTTTACCCTAGAACCTTACAAATGTATGTTCTGAGTTGACATAAACTTCTTTAAGTTGCCAAGAAAATAATACAGACAGCTGAAGAGGACATGGAAGCTGCAGTAAGAAAAAGTCCCTTGCAATTTTTTGTGTCTGCACCAAAACGCCCCTGTGGTCCTTCTGGCATCATTGGGCGTTTCCAGTCCTCCAACTCGTGGGGTCCTCATAGGCGTTTGCTCTCTGTAACTTTTAGTGTGTCCTTTACAGAAGGGTCTAATTGTGTCCAACAGTCCCTATTTTCAACAGTGCAAAGCGTCTTTGCAAAGACTTCCATACTGTAGTCCTTTTAAGGGGAAAGTGTGTGTGTCAGCTAAGAGAGTTGTGTAACGCCCAAACCCAGCTCACTCCTACTTCCCACCATCCGACAGCTGACGGTTTTAAGGTTCTCTTTTTTGCACAGTTCTTTAAAAATTTAAATGAGACATGAAGTCGTGTTATAGAAGGAAGCTCCCTGCCCCGCCAGGTAGAGCCAGTTTGCAGGTGGGATCCCCAGGTGATGCTGAGATGGGGCCGCCCTGAGGTTCCCCTTTCTTAAAATGACACCAGCCATAAGGGAGCTCGTACTGTCGATGTTTTTAATTTCCAGGTTTTTTGTTCGTAAAATATTTTGTTCTCAGAGCTGCTGACAGGTGATAATAACGAAAAGAAGACCGATTCGAATTTGAATTAGGTACCAACTCAATACAGTCATGACAAACAAGGCAAGGACCACCTGGTCTCAGGCTTCTCTGAGGGGCCACCCGCCACCAGGCACCACTCCCTCCTTGCAGGACTGGTGTGAATTCTGATGAAATAATGTCTGCAAAGCCAAGAATGCAGTTTTCCTTCTCTTTCTCATAATAATTTTAGTAATTTCAGAAGAGCGAATGCTTGGGAAATTAAAGTTGCAGTCTTGAGTTTAAACAGAGGGTTCTCCTGTCCCTCAAAAGGAGGTGCTCCTTTAACGGTAACAGTAAACCTGGAGGGTCTGAAATGAACCTTCTGCTGCAGAACTCTATAACTCCTGTACAGGGCTGGAGACACTGCTTTATCAATCAGTACAGTAGTTCACAGGCATGTCTGTCTGTCTGTCTGTCTGTCTATCGCATCCAGGTCTTCCTTATGGGTGAGATGCTCTCTGAACCCCTCATTGGCCAGCTGGCCCTTTGCTTTGATATGGGGCCTCATTTAGATTAAGGAAGAGAAAGGACTTAGATACCTGCCATAGAAGCTTTATTCGAGTATATGAAGTTCTGGCCTGTCTTGGGTACAAGGCTCAGGTGGGAAGGAGGGCCCCCTGACACCTGTCAGATCATAATTTACGACCACAGTCCTCATTCACCTGACAACCACAAGGAAGGAGGTCCCCATTCCTCTGCCAGGGGACTGAACTAACACGGGGTTTAATAGTAATAGTAGTAATAATAGCAGCCACAAATATTTACTGACTACCTGCCAGACACCATAGTTTTCCCATTTAATCCTGATCACAACTCTATGAGACAGAGGCCATTATTAACCCTAAGAAACCAAAGCCCAGTAATTTGCTCAATGTTACACAACAGTGTGCAACCATATACACACTAGAAATGTCCGCTTTCCTTTTCTAATAAAACCTCCATGAAAACTCATAAGCCCTACCTCACCCTTCTAGCTAAATATCGAGCATGCATTTGCAGGTCACCCTTCCAGCTAAATATCGAGCATCCATTTGCTCCTGAGTCACATGAGTTGAGGACATGTGGACAGCGTCACCTGATATGTTTCGAGCATCATATTGACATGTTTGATATGTGTCCAGTTTCCCATATTAGAACATAAGGCCCAACAGTCAGGGCCCATGACATTCTCTCTAACTCTCCAACACATGGCCCAGTGAGTGTCTCCTGAGTGGTCTGAGCCAAGGCTAGTGATGGCATCTGCTTGGACGGTGGTGCCAGGGAGGTTGTGAGCCAGGGATGACTGCTGAGTGCATACCTCTCTTCTCAGGAAGACTGGTTACCCAGTTTCTCTGCCCAGGAGACACTTTATGCAGCAAGTAGAACAAGTCTAGAGATGACACTGGGCTCAGATGCTCTGCACGTAGCAGGGCCGAGGGTTGGCAAACATGGTGGAAGAAGCCACAACATGCTAATAAGTGGATCGCCTTCAGAGAGAACAGGCAGTCTGGGGCCATTCAGCATGGGAAGAGGCGACCCCTGAAGACTTCAGTGCGTGATAGTGTTTTTTTATTAATCAAACCATGTGCATACGTGTGGGCACACACGTACAACATATGTAAATTATGTGCCAGGCACTATTGAATCACTTTACTACTATTAACTCATTTAATTTTCTGCAACCATATGACGTAGGTACTGTTGTTATCTTCATTTTACAAATGGGAAAACTGAGACGCAGAAGGGTGACTTCATCAAGGCCCCCAAGCTAGTAAGTCACAGAGCCAGGATTACTGCAGCTTAGATATTAGGAGAATGTGAGATAGTTCCAACACACGGATATGGTGACAAAGAAACAGCGCATTTGAGAAGTCATTTTATGCAAAATTACCATATTCTTTAAGTTTTAGATGCTTTTAGGAATAAGTTCCAGTTATTTAGATAATTCTGTTTTTAAAGGACTATTCCTCCCCCCCATAAAAAAATTGAAATACATAGTGTGTATGTAGAAAGAAAAAGGTCAAAGGAAGCAAATAGTATTTACAAAACCCTTCTCTATGCCATTGTGATGCAGGCAGGTATTTTGTTCCTGTGCTATCTATGAGGGATTACAGACCAAGAAGCCCTGTGTGCTTTGACCAAGGCAACCCAGCCAGGTCAGACGTGGAGGTGACCTCCCAGCCCTAACCCCGCCTTCACGCAGTATATATCCTACTGGAGAGAAGACGAGATCTGTTCAAACGCAGGGATTGTGTAGAGCTCGTAAGCCTTCAAGTAACCTGTTTTGTTAGCGAACGAATCAAAATCATTTTCACCTTTCTTGTGCATCCCACACATACCAAACGTGTCCTAAGATATGTTATATCCAATGAATGTTTGTTTGTTTGTTTGTTTGTTTTAATCCTATTTTAATTTAGAGTGGATTAAAACTAGGATACCCTGGATTATACCACCCCCCCACACACACACACCCACACCCCGCCGTGTAAAGTTGTAAATCCCGGGCATGGAGACATTAAAACTAGGATACCCTGGATTATACCACCCCCCTGTGTAAAGTTGTAAATCCCGGGCATGGAGATGTGGCTGTAGAAGGGGAACAGCCTGAAGCTGAAAGTGACTCGTTCACCGTTCATTTCAGTTTCTCCTGTTCATGAGAAATCGGTCTCCTGAATGGACCGTCCATGTGGTAATTTCTCAGTGAAAGGCTGAGTCTCGTCTGTGCCTAGGATAAGTTCTTACCAATCTAAAGTAAAGTGGGGCTTGGTCAAATGTCCAGGCCTTGAAGTGTCTACAGTTTATCAATCAGCCAACACGTATTGATAACTTATCCACCTTTACCAGTGCCCAAGGGTCACTGGTAAAGCCTGAGTTCTGGTCAAAGAGATGGACTGAGAGAAAACTGAGTGTGAGCGACTGTCTCAGGCTCCGCTTTAAACTTCTCAATTCACGTGTTGTTCTTTTCTTTTCCCCTCAAGGGTCGAGATTACTGTTCGGAAGAAGAGGATATCACATAGCACCGATTCTACCGCGCAGACCAGGAGCTACTACTGTGTAAATAGGTTGCACCCCAGTTGAAATCTTTGCAAAGGTCGGTCCTCTTCAAAGAACAGCACTATAGCGAAAGAAGATCGTTCCATATCGTATGCCCCATTAAATTACAGTGTTTCTTAATGAACTTGCAAAGGAATATTGCTAAAAACAAACAACAACAACAAAAAAAACTGTTCTCGAACTTTCTTTGTTGCTGCTAGTTAAAACTTGTTGCAACTTTTCACTTCTCTCGTGTCCAGGTATGCAGCAAAAATTCTGCAATTTCACCTTAAAGATACTGTTGGTTTTCCAGAGGCTCTCCAACCTATTTTCTATAAGATGAGGTAGTGGTGAACTCAGATATCAAACTTCTGTTCTAGACTGGTTCTGCTTCTAAGCGTCTCCTCCCCTCTCTCCTTCCTCCCTGTCTCTCCCGAGCGGTCCAGAGCCATGCTTCTCACTGGCAATGCTGCGCTTTGGAGATGGGATGGTTGCTATGGCAAGCCTTGTTTCTCGGCTAAGAAGAAGTAGAGAAGCCATTATCGATTAAAAGCATGTGGTGTGACATGACTCCTGGAAGTGACACGGGAGCAAGCAGCCAGTTGTTTCATTTACTAGGTATCTTAATCAAGGATTGAGCTCGCAACATTGGCTTTGCTCAGATGCAGACGGAAGTGTGATCACAATCATTTCGAATCCCTCTTCCCCACTTTTTTTTTTTCTAAGAAAATAAACATTTTACTGTTTTTATGGATCTTTGTCTTCTCCCATTCATCCAGTTCGGTGTTCTACGGTGATCCTGGGCGGGGAAGATGAGCCCTCCTTTGCAATGACACCGATACTTAACTTAGTGGCTCCCTACCCTCCCGTTAATAATCTACGAGCATTGGCTGGGCCGTAAGTGGTCAGAAGAGATGAGGGGACATCCCACGACTTTTTAGGAGGGCCTGAAACCACCCTGTTTTCTTTCGTTTTGTTAGCAAACCACCCATCCTGCTTCCTAACTCTCTCCCTTCAGAGATGCGGGAGCCTCGCCATTTCCTTTTTCTCTCCCTTGCAGCGCTGGATAGTGAGAAACGTTCTTCGCCTACTGGAAAAACGTAGCACATTTACGCTGGTGATGATATTCGGAGATGCGAAAGCTAAAGAAAGCCCCAGGGCGGTCGTGGAGAATGTTCACTGTGGGGTTGGTAGAGTTTATTTTTCCATATTATATGAAGAGAATGCTCTCTTCCCAAAGACAGAAGTAATATTTTTAACAAATCGTTGTCACAAGTAAATAGCAATCAAAAGGAGAAAATAACTTTTGTATTTTTTTAACGCCTTTGATAGCTTTGACGAGGGTTCTCTTTGTTATTTTCCGGGGAGGGCACCCTATTCAGTGCTAGGCCAGCAGCCCAAAACGGAAGGAGCACTGTCTATGTCTCTTTGGGAGTTATGAACGGGAAGGGCCTCGCTGACGCCCTTCGAAGGTGGATAGTTACTATGTTCCAGGTAGTCAGGAGATCACCTGTCACACACTAGAATGAGAAGCTAAATGTGTTCTTGTTGAGAAGATGAGCCTTGATTTTAAAGTCCATCCACATAGCTGATGGCACCATCGCCAGGCTAATCATGGTCAGATTCCTCGTCTCCCTTCAGACTCAGGGCACGAAAATGAGTAGAGAGAAACTCAGTCAAGTGCTATAGAAAACGGACTCAAATGTTAGCAACAAAAGCCCTTAATTCTTTCAGCCAGCAGCCGCTATTCTGGGGAGCAGCTGTGGTTGTTACATAAATAGAGATGCAGCCAAAATTTAAGGCTTTTTATCCTGCTTCGAGCAGAAAAATGTTGGGGGAGTCAAGTCGACTAGGGTTTAAATTCCCTCCCTTTGTATGGTTTTTGGCCAAGTGACGAAAATAGTTTTCCTCAACTATAACGGAACTGCTAAGCCCCACCTCAAACTTGTCCCCGAGGACTTTGTCCGCTGTCATGCCGATGACCTTCTCCTGGGATTTCTTGTTCTTACGAAGCAAATGGTAAACGTCTTCCACTTGGCCCCTCTGCCTGGTGTCTCGGATAGTGTCTTGCCAGAAATCATCACCTACCCGAAGGTGAAACATGCTCATATCATTTTTTTACAGTCACATTTCACATGTTGACATGATACCCATGTACACTGAACCGAGTGTTTCTTGGGAACCTGGCTTTTGCGTGTTTCGTAAATCCAGAAACGGTTCCCGTGAACCGGTGGGTTTTCACCTGGAGTTCTGTCTTCTGCTTTTAACACTGGAGACGACCTCTTCCAGGTACGAAAGCGATTTCATCTGTAGACGCGTTTGGTACATCTAGAAATAGATCTGAGAAATGGCGCGACTGAGCGGGTTGCCATGAAATGCTTGATTATGTTAGCGAAACTCAAAACTGTCTGTTTTCCATGTGTTGGTTTTCATCATAAAATTGTCAAGTGATTTGTATTTGTACTGTATTTTTTTATGCCTTCTGAAAGGGTCTAAAGTAAAAATATGTTGCCTTTTCTCCCCGCTGTGTATCTGAACATTAAGCAGACTGTCTCAGATACAGTGAAAAGAATAATCCAGAAGCTCGTGCTTCTGCTGGCTGAGGTCTCTGGAGACGGAAGGAGGGAAAGAGGAAAATGGCCTCCTGGATGGAGGTTAGAAAAAGAATGAGAAAGGGACTGAAAAGCGTTGAGCAGAGTTGATGGAATGGCTGTGTGCTGAGTCCGAGTCAAAATCCAGCTGCCTGGAGGGCGGTGGGTGGGGCGGACGCACGCGGGGTTTACAGCTGGGTTGCATGAGCCCGACGTGCTGAGTCGAGGAGCTGTGAACATTCAGCGGTGTGTGCGGCTTGCTTTCGGTTGAGGGTACTCAGGACCAAGGAGTGCTAGCGTCATGATCTGGTACATGTTTGTGACTGGCAGAGAACCCTAAAAGTGGCTTTTACCTCGATAACGCCTCCTAGCCCCAGGCTGCAGCATAGAGTGGTCTATCTAGGGACAAAGCAGGTATGAAGTCCTAAAGCCCAGGAGACAGCAGAGGCCACCCATGGACGTGCTGGGGGACAGGTCTCTCCCCGTCTGCAGTGCCCATGATCTGAGGCTGGGCTTCAATGACTTGAATGAGAGAAAGACCTGCCTGTAAGGCGAGGAAGCACCTCTGTGTCAAGGGCACCCCCCCCCAGGGTCAGGAGTGGCCATGCCTGCGACTCAAGAACCCCCAGGAGCAGGCCCAGGGATGTCGGCGCCCACTTTTTGGTCCCATGTGATGCCATCTCACTTTGAATTATAACTTTGTCCTCTTCCCAACCTCACTGAAACATCGGTTTTTTAATTTTAAGCCAGAGTCTCCTGTAAGCCTGCTGAAAACAGAGATTATACCTCTTAGGGATTTTTCCTCAGGAGACTGTGATGCAGGTTGGCATATTGATTACAAGTCCTGCTTAGACATTGATCAAGAATTTGAAAGAGCGTTCTAGCTCTGCTAGCCTTAGAGAAGAAACTCGATTAAATATGTCAGTTTTACAGGAAGAAAAATTATCAAATTCTTAATCCAGGAAAGTACTGACTCTGAATCTTGGACTCCAGGACTCTGATATGCTTGTTACAAAACAGTTGGTTTCTAAGGTCTTCTCCTTCCTCCTCCCAACTTCCTCATTAAAAAAAAAAAAAAAAAAAGTATTAGATTATACTCTATAATTTTACATAAAATCAGCTTTCCATGCTTTTCCCCCTGGAAGGTGTTCTCAGAGCTTTATTTCTTTGTACCTCTCAGAAATTAAACTTTTTGTTAAGTTGCTTAAACCCCAGTAGTAGAAAAATAAGGCATGGTCGGGGAGAGGGAATATGTAGTTAAGGGCATAATGAAAAGGTGGCTCGAAGCAGGAACTTTGGCTTCTCGATGTCACAGATGGATGACCGGGTCCCCGGGCGCCAGTGTAAAACGGGATGAGGCACTCAGCTTTCACACCACAAATTCCCTGCAATAAACCTTTGCAATTTCTTGAATGAGGATATGTTTTTCCAAGAGGAAAAGAAATGTGTTTGACTTCGGTCACCTTTTTGTATATCTCTGGAAAAGAGCCAAAAAGCTTTGGCAGAAAATAAGGATCGTAGGTGAATATATTTACTTTTGTGACAAACCTTAGGACTTATTAGCCATGCCATGTTTTTCAGGAGACTTGTACCTTATCTAGAATCTAATATCATCTTGGGGAAGGAGGAAAAGGAACTACATAAATATTTATTATTTATACCCACTCTGTGCCAGATACTGTGCTAGAGATTTTATAACTGTCTCGTGTAACCTTTGCAGTAATAACTATGTAGTGACTATTACCTCCATGTTCTAGGCAATGTATCTTATGTGTAGAATACATCTATCCAACATAAAGCCCATATTGAAAGAAGGAATGATGTCATTCAAGTATTTCCCAATTTTTTTCATTATCACTATGCCCTTTGCAACACTGTGAAAACAACCTTTTAGGGGCATCTACCTTCCAGAATCTCTGGCTCATCACCGGCTCGGATTCCCCATGCCGAGTGTTTTATTTGGCTTCATTTCTGATGAGCTACACACAAATCAGGAGAGGGCGCTGGCTAACAGAACTTTAGTGCCCAGGAGGAAAAGGCTTTGGAAATTTAGGCGCATGTCTCTCCCCACTTGGAAGAAGAACCTGATACTTGTGCAGTTAGAAGCCAGATGGGGGGTCCAGAACAGGCATCTGAGTTTGTGATTCCTTTCCTGGGTCCCAAGGCTTGTTTCATTGCAGGCCACATCTTTTCAAGGTGAAAAGCCTTAATCTTGCAGAGAAGTTGGGGAGAATCTGATCTCCAAAGGTGGAGGAAAGACCTGGACCGTTGACTTGAAATCCTTCCTTGTGGATAGGGTCGATATCTCTTTTCGATCTTTGAACTGGGGGGTCTGTATTTTCCAGGCTACTTTAAGCCCTGAAACTGGATGTGCATTTCTTTTAAGACCTTAAACATTTGGAACACTCATGTAGTGACTTGGATAGTCATTTAAAGAACTCGTTCCAAGGTCAGAAGGGCTCAGGAATTCCCCCCAGAGTTCCTCTCCTTGCTCCTAAAGGCACATCCTCGAAAGAACACTCGCGGCTCCATAGCAACGGTTAAGGGTTCTGCTAGAGGGGATCCACCCCACCCTCACTTATTTAGCTGGAAGGAATCAAAAGAATTTTCTTATGTGTGTGTGTGTGTGTGTGTGTGTGTGTTGCGGGGGGTGCTATGACCAATTTCCCTGTGAAAACTGGCCCCGAGATCCTGCCTCTAACCTGGCAGCTGTCGAGTTCAGTCACGAAAACATGGGAAATGCCTCTTGTCTCTTGGAAGCCAGAGAAATTGCTTTAATTCAGCAAGATGCATCCCTAAACCAAAGGCTTCATTCTAATGGCTGTGTTTCCAGATCTACCTTGAATTCTCCCTTCTCCCCTTTCTAGGGGTTATTTTTAGCCCAAGGCTTTGAACTTGATTGAGTAAGACTTGGAGGCAGTAAAAAGAACACCATAAACTCAGCCAGAACTGCCTTAGGTCCCTGGAGTTAAAAATAGCTGTGGAACCTCAGGGGCCACTTGGCCTAGACCGAGAAGTGGCAGAACAGCCCCTGGTTTCTTGACATTTCAGCCCAGACCTCCAGGGCCCGTTCTCTCTTGACGGTGAAGTGGGCAAGGAAATTTCGCAATAGATTTCAAGCCAGGTTTTCTGTTCAAAGAAAGATGCAAATTCACTTTAAAAA